AATCTACAATTATGTTTAACTTTATGGGAGTACTGTTGTCTGGATCTCTGTGCCCTGATAAATGCTCCCTTCTGATCCCCTTCCTTGTGTTCCTGTATTAAATATATCTTAGAAATGGATATGTTGAAGACTCTTACTTTTGAGCAGCAGTCAGTCTCAAGCAGTCCTTTTTGGGATATATTTTCCCAGCTGCCTCTGCTTTACAGTCTTGGATTCCAAACCTTCTGGTGCTTGAAAAACAAGGCTGTCTCCTGTGCACATCTGAGGTTTCTCCTTTTATTCCAGAAGGATTTGCTAGAGTGCTGAGGCAACATCTCTATAGCTCTATTTATAGTTTGCCTGTATGTCTCTTGGAAATGTGATCTCAACCTTGTTTTTTCTATTTGCTTTCTTGGCAGCACAAGAAGGGGACTGTGATGATGAAAGCATGCTGGACAATTTTGTCAACTTCTTCTTTGCAGGTTTGTCAGTGTTTTACTCTTCAAATACACAAACTCCACTTCACCAGAGAAGATCTGCCAGCAACAGACTTCCCCACGTTCAACTATATTGTAAGCTGTCCAGAGACGACAGTAATGGATGTCCTATAAATTTCCTAAATAAGTAAATAAAACCAGTGCAAACTGCATTGTGCTCTACCAACATCTAAAGTTTCTAATGGGGAAATAAAAAATCTAATTTAAATAACAGGAAAGTAGATTGAGGAAATCCTCCAATGGCCCAAAGGTATAGGAGCTAGAAATCTGAATGCCATTGTCCTGTCCCTCATAGCAGGTGTGGAAAAAAACCACATGGGATCTTTTCCAAAGTCAGGACTGGAGAGAGCTGGAAGGTGTGTTTTGGGAACAGTGGGGGGGGGGTGATCAAGGCAGCCAAGATATGAGGCATCTTGAAGCAGCTCCTGCTTCCTTCCTTTCCTCCTGAAGTGCTATTACCAAATGACCACAAATTTAAATCGAGTCAGTGTCATATACACAGCAGTCCCAGAAGAATCCTAACTTGATCATGGGCAATCAAATTAGGGCCTAGAGGAAGGTCTGTTGTGGCCCTAATTTGAAGGTAAAGGTGTAGTCTAGGACATTTTTCATTCACTTTGCTATCTAGAGTTATTCCACTTCCATATTCCACACACATAGTTTGCCTCTATGGGTTGAAATGGACTTGCAAGCTATAATTATGAGGAAACCTGTTTTTCATTAACCATGGTTCCACATGTCTGGGTTCTAGTCCCAGTCCACGCACAAAGCTCACTGGCTAATTTTGGACCAGTTACTGACTCTCAGCCTAAGTTACCCCACAGGGTTGTGCTGAGGATAAAATGAAGAGAAGGAGGACCATGGCCGCCATGTTGGTGTCCTTGCAAGAGCAGAAAAGGCAAAATGGAAATCTAATGACTAAAGTAAAATGCACATTGCTGATGCATAGTTTAAATTCCTTTTTAGCTAGGATTGGATCCCTCTGGAAGAAACAAATCTCTGGATAGCCCAATTTCTGTATTAAATGTCCCAGATTCTGAAAGTAGCTCAGAGGAATATGTGCAGCCCATGCATGGAAGAAATTGTGTTGGCACCGTCTATTTTATCTAGATGGCCATTTTCAGCTGCCTATGTAAAGTGCAGAGGAAGAGAAAGAAGGTAGCTGGCTCACCAATAAGAACTGGGGCAAGTCCTCTGCCCAGTGTCCACACCTCACCTCCCACAACACACCCCTTTTTGCCCTCTCCGAGGCCCAGTTGCAATCTTGAGAGGCAGACAACATGGTTCTTTCTGCATTGGCTGTGAGGAAAGCGGGGACCAGGACTTCAGAGCTGGGACCCCAGACAATGTCATGAGGCCATTGGACTATGCCCCACATTTCCTAAACTCTCTTTTGCTCGCTTCTTTTTCTCTTACCGAAGGTATGTAAAAAAATTCAGCCACTAGTCTGTAAATATTTTAACTGGACTTCATTCTGTTGCAAAATGGCCAACTATAATCTTTAGTTTTTGTTGTTGTTAGTCGCAAAGTCATGTCTGACCCATCAAGACCCCATGGACAACATTCCTCCAGGCCTTTCTGTCCTCCACCATCCCCTGGAGTCCACTTAAGCTCACGCCGACTGCTTCAGTGACTCCATCTAGCCACCTTATCCTCTGCCGTCCCCTTCTTCTTAAGCCATCTATTGTTTTATTCCATCTTTAGTTTTATTCCAATGCTAATCTGTTCTGCAGGTCATGAAACCTCTGCCAACCAGTTATCTTTCACCCTAATGGAATTGGGACGAAATCCAGAGATAGTTGCAAAGTAGGTAAACGGCACTCTTTGCTCATTGTCTTTTCCTTTTTGGTCATATGTCTATGTATATACTATCTGCAGTTTGCAAGTTTTCACTTTTTTATGTTTGTGACTCAATTCACATAATCTTTTCACTTTCCATATGAGCCTTCTTTCTTCTAGCTTCACAATTTATGTGAAAAATACATTATTCTACCAAGATGAAAGCTGGGTTCCCCATCAACCTTGTCTCTTCTTGCCTCTTCCATATTCCATATTTGGAGTACTGTGTCCAGTTCTGGGTACCACAGTTTAAGAAAGAGGCAAACAAACTGGAAAGGGTTCAGAGGAGGGCAACAAGGATGATCTGGGGACTAGAGACAAAGCCCTTTGAGGGGAGAGGGAAAGAGCTGGGCATGCTTAGCCTCTGGAAGAGAAGACTGAGGGGAGAGATGATAGCACTCTTCAAGTACATGAAGCACTCTCACAAAGAAGCAGACCGGGCTCTCTTCTTGATCATTCCAGGGTCCAGGACATAGAAAAATGGGCTGAAGTTACAAGAAGCCAGATTCCAGCTAGGTATCAGGAACATTTCCTGCCTGTCAGAGCAGTATGACAATGGAAACAGTTACCAAGGGAGGTTGTGGGCTCTCCCACACTGGAGGCATTCAAAATCCAGATGGACAGCCATCTGAGAGGGATGGTTTAGGTTGGTATTTTGCACTGAGCAGTGGGTTGGACCTGATGAGCTTCTGGCCCCTTCCAGCTCTACTATGCTATGATTCTCTGCTAGTGGGCAGTATATAATCATGGTGACTAGATTGTGAATGTTGACTATAGTGACTGTGTATACAGGTGTTTATCACCACTGCACATCAGTCTATTCACAGAAGAACCACAGGGCATTTGTCTGTGTAATGAAGTTCTGTAACTGACAGTAAATATTAATCCTTTCAAGTAGAGAAGTCTTCCATTTAGCATTAATTAGCACTGAACTAAACTAAAGTTTTTCCTGCCTCTGCTTCTTAGACTTCAGGCTGAAGTGGATGATATCATTGGTATGAAGAAACATATTTCCTATGATGATCTTAAGAAACTCAAATACTTATCACAGGTACCGTTGAATAACAAGGCAACAGATAAGCCAGATCTGCTTTGCATGCCTCCTTTGCTTTGCCATTACTGGTAAGAGGAATATTTTTGTTTCCATGTGGAATGAGAAGATGAAACTGGCAGATTTTTAAGCAAAGTATCTCAATCAGCATGAGAAGCCTAATAACCTCAAAACCTTCCATGCAGAGCTTGTTATTGTTGAGCAAAATCTTAGCAGCCATATTGCCATATTTTCAGTTCTACTGAGCCACATATTCCCCGTCTTGTATCGATGCATTTGGTTTCTTTTTCCTAGGTGGAGGACTTGGCACTTGTCCCTAATGACTCTCATTCTCTTGCTTTCAGCCCAGCATTCAAGTTTAACAAGATCGCCCTGGACCTTCATTCTGTCTTCTAGGGTGCTTGCTCTTCCACCCTGTTTTCTTTCATTTGCAAATTTGATTAACTTTCCTAGTACTTCCTCATCTAAATCATTAATAAAGATGTTGAAGAGCACTGGGCCCAGGACTGAACCCTGAGGCAACCCACTAGTTAACTTCCTCTAGTTTGAGAAGGTACCATTGATGAGCACTCTTTGTATCCAATTTAGCAGCCAATTTTGGATTTTCTATTTAGTCCAGTTTTTACTAATTTTCTTATCAGAATGTTGTGGGACATTATGCCAAAAGCTTTGCTAAACTCTAGGTAGATTATGTCCACAGTGTTCCCACTGTCCATTTGGGAGGTTATCCAGTCAAAAAACCCTAAATTAGTCTGACAGGATTTATTTTTGATAAATTCATGCTGGTTTTTATTAATCACTCCATTTCCTTCAAGGTGCTTGAAGACTGATTTTTTAAATAATTTGCTCCAGAAATTTTCCAGGGACTGATGTCACACTAACAGGACAACATCAGCTATTATTTTACCAAAAAAAAAAAAAAAAGGCCCCTGCACCTCATGGTTGTTGAGAGCCCTGTTCAAACTTTTTACATCATTTTTATACCTTCCCACACAAAGCTTGTGAAAAGCCCTATTTTGGTTGGCTATAATTTTCCTCAGTACAGGTCTTAATATGCCTGCTTGCAACTATTTCTACCAATTAAAATTTGCTGAAGCTCCTTGCTTCAAATGTAGATTTGCTTGTTGCATGTTATTCCTCATTATCTCAGTTGTTACTTCATACATGTCCTACACACCTGAAAGTTATGGCTGCCTAGGCCCATCCAGAAATCATCCTGTGTTTCCTTCACATCTAGATATTCCTTGACCGTTTCTTTGTCAATCTTGGATTGCCATCTCTCACTTTTGGCTTGTACTTCCTCTTTGTAGTAGATTATCTTGTGGGAAAAGACTGAGGCGAAGTAGGAATTGAGCACCTCCGCCTTTTCCTTGTTTTTTGTTGTCACTCTGCCATCCACTTTAAGGAGCTGCATCCCCTGCTACTCTCAGTTCATTTCCTGCTTTAGCCTTCCTGACGCCATTCCTGCAATTCCTTGCTATTTGTTTCTATCCTTCCTTTGGGGGCCTGGCCCTGCTTCCACTTCCTGTATTTGTTCTTTTTTTCTTTCAGGCTGTCACTTAACTGTTTGTGGGGCTACATGGCCTTCCTCTGTTGTCTTCTACACTTTTTTTCTTGTGGGAATTGTTTGTAGCTGTGCTTGCAGAAACTTTTTTTCTTCATGTTTCATCACCCCTCTTGGTTTCCGTTTCTGTAAGACTGAGTTGCCATGGCACTTCACTTATTCTTAATTTGTTAAAATTGACTTCCTTAAGTCCAGGGTTCCTGTTTGGCTGCAGTTAACTTTTTGTCACATGCGTGTTCCTATGTCTAAGCTGAGGATAATCAAGAAGCCTTTCTTAGATCCTTCTGTGGCTCCCAGCTGGTGTATTCCCATTCCTAATTTGAGGGGTTTTCAAAAAGGTTCCACACTTTTATATTTATAAATATATTTTATATATTTTTGCTGATGGCATTAAAAAGTTGGTACAACAATGGGAAAAATGCATCACAAAAGAAGGTGACTATGTAGAAAAGTGATGTAATTTGTTTTTGAAATTCTTAATAGAGTTTTAAAAAGTATGGAAACTTTTTGAAGAACCCTCGTATATAATACAGTTAGTCCCTGGTTATGAACATCTGGGTTACGAACAACCCATACTTATGAATGAGCAAACACAAAAGTCCCATCTTGTCCTGGAGCAGCAGGCAGTGCCCATGAGCGCCCACTTACTGTTCCTGCCCTGCTCTGGTTAGTCCTTGCCTTGTTCTAGTTTATCCTTTCCATGCCCACTCTTGTCTGTTCCTGTAGTGTCCCTCCTCTACCTTGACCTCCTTTATCTGGCTGCTTCCCTGGCATTTGACCACGGGACTGTTTGTGGCCTGTGATCTTTCTCTTGCACTCTCCTGGACTGCCTGCAATTTCATTTCTGACCCTGGACTATTGACCACACTGCCAGCCTCTAGTCCTGCCAAGCAACAGAACCCGGCCTGGCACCAACACATGGTCCTGGCGTTCTGCCTGCCCTGTCAGCCACCCACATCCCAGTGAGTGCAAAGTCAGAACTAGAAAGCAACTCCAGTGGGAGACCCCTGCCCTGTTCCAGCAGTGCAAAGAAATCCTGACTCTCCAGCACCCAAGCCATCCTCTCCAACACCAGTCCCATCTCCATCATCGCCACATTAAGGCTTGCTCAAGGAATGTTAACCTTTAATATTCTTTTAACTATTTTCTATCTTTCTATCTACTCTGTTTTAAGAACTGTACTGTATAGCTATACACATACATGCAGATTATTTGCCTCTCTTTTCAGTATCAGTAGTTGCTTTATTACTGTATTATTATCATTATTAAATTGCTCTATTGTGTTTAAGATGCTTTAGCATATATGGATGTGTTTCTTAAGTATTTATATGCTTTTTATATACATGATCCTACCTGCATATGAATTCAGCTTAAGGATGTTCTTAGGAAGGGAACTCATCCATAACCTGGGAGCACCTGTATAACAATCCTGCAAGTGCCTTCAGATCTGGTACCAATCTTGCAAGTATCACCAAGTGAACCAAGCAGCTTTTGCTACCCAGATCAGCAGGGCGAGCTATGTTGTTCTGCAAATCCTTCTCTTCCCCATCCACTAGGGGAAGCTGCATTGATCTGCAAAGTGGATAATACTAAAGAGGTGGTAGAAACCTGCTGATCAGGTTTGCCCCATTTACCTTATAGGGAGGTTAAGCAGATTTGCCCTTCACTCTCTCAGAAACACATTAAATAAACACCATGCAGCAAGGGCTCATATTTTTACTCTGTTGTAAAAACTCTAGTCCTCTTATCAGGATTAAAGAAAAAAACCTTCCATAGGTTTGCAAGAATTTATTGGGGAGCAGCCTAGTGGAAGGCTTAAATCCCTAAATTACCTGCCCTCAGAGGTCCCAATCCAGATTGGGCATCCAGATACTTACAATGAGGTTCAGCTGCCTGCATCCTATTTAATATACTATGTAGTTTAGCTCTGAATGCCACAGACATCAACTGATATTTTCCTAAGAAGTCATTAATAAAAAGACAGCATACTAAACTAAACACACATTTCTTTTTTGCTGTTTGAAATAGACAGTGTGCTGTACCAGTTACAGTGCTGAACTGGAACTTGGGAGATCTGTATTCTAGTCCCTTACTCTGCTATGAAGTTGCTTAGGTGACCTTAGGCCCATCACTGAGCCTCAGCCTAACCTAGCTCACAGGGATGTTCTGAGAATAAAAATGGAACAAGGAGGACCATGTAAGCCACTTTGTGTTCCTTGCAAGGGAGATATAGATGAGGAGATACCTGCCAAACTTGCAATCCTTCCACGGTGATGTGAGGATATCAGTCTCCTGTTGCAAATTATTCCTAACAGGACAATTGTATTTGGTTGTGCAGAAAAATTGTAAGCCACCAGGTGGCTGTGTCTTCTTATTTATTTATTTTATTTTATTTTATTTTATTTTATTAAAACATTTCTATGCCGCCCCTTGCCGAAGCCTCGGGGCGGCTCACAACACAAAATAAAATACAATAAAAGTTCTTCAACAGCAACTGTATAAGGAAGATCACAGTTCATGGTCTGAGACTGAATGGTTTGCTGAGAGCCACCCTGCAAAGTCATGACTGAGTTGGAATTTAACCCACAGGGCCCCAAATACAAGGCTGCCTCTGGATTCTGCTTCTAGGTACCAGTGCTGTGCCTCATTCCTGACAGTCTGAGGGATACCATCTTCTGCTGTGTTTTCTTATCATTTCTTTTATTATCACTTCTTAAATCTGTTAAGGAGAAGAAGAGGAAACAGCTGAGCAATCATATTCCAACTGCTATCTGACTAGAAGCATCTCAAGACTCTATCTCCCAAATCAGGCAGGCAAAGAAAGAAATGGTTCTGCTGTGGCTCTGCTGTCTACAAGGTTTTCAATCTGTTTCAGGTTCTCAAGGAAGTCCTGCGGCTGTACCCTCCAGCTGCAGCCACTCTGCGCTTTACAGAAAAGGAAAATGTAATTGAAGGAATCAAAATTCCAGCAAACACCTCCCTGATTGTAAGTCTGTTGAATGGATATCTCAGAGCTATTCAACACAAAACCTTCAGAGATATAGCCAGTATCTCACTAGCATTAAAAGAAGTATTAGTATACTGATTATGGTCAAAGACTTTTCAAAATAGGAGAGATAGGACTGTGATATGTAAATCAGTGAGTAGCTTGGCAGGACAGTTTGCACACTTGAAGCTTACAGGTTTTCTTTAAGAATATCTTTCTGTACAGTATATTAGTGTAGTCTAACCATGTTCTAACTAAGGCATGGATAATTGTTGCCAGACCAGAATGGCTGCAGTTGCTGCATAATCTTAATTGTGCTAATGTATTCCTTGCCCTTGCTGACATCTGAAAAGTCAGGGACAGTGTTAGATCAAAGAGCACTTCCAAGCTACAAACTTTTCAGGACAGGTTAGGTCCCAGTCCCTGCACCAGGCTGTTTATGGACCAACAGTGCCTCCTTCTCGCCTGGATTTAATTTCAGTTTGTTCCTCTTCCTCCATTTCACTACTGAACCCAATCCACACTGAAGTTAGGCAACAAAGATCAGCAGAGCTGAACATCTCAGCCCTGGGATGGGCTATTTTAACTTGTCTATCACCTCTGGGAATGTCCACACAAGCAATCAGTCAGGAATTGTAGGGTTGTATATCATTGTGGGTTTTTCGTATTTTAAGTGCACAAAACAATGGAATTCTGTAACTCTGTGAACTTGAAGGATTCTGAGCATCGTATGTGGAATGAGAACAGTGTGAAGGTGAAGGGTTACCTTTCCACTCCTCCAGACTTCAGCCCAGCTAGTAGGCCAATATTATATGGAGAAGAGACTTGCTTCTGTAGTTTGGCTGATCTACACTAGAATTATGTCAGATACTCTGGAATACAAAGTTTCTTCCAAGATCAGGATGGTCTCTTGAATTCAATGAAATAAAAACATATCTACCCATCCACCCACCCACATACACACACATACACAAGTAGAAAGGGATCAAGCAGCAAGCCTTTGTGAAAAGAATGTCAATAGGAAGGGAGCAGGGTTTAAATTAAACAATACAGTCTGTGTTGCAGAAGACCAAACTCTTTGTAGTTTACATTACATGTCGAAACATGAAACGTGTCATCCACAGTTCTGCACATATGTGACTGGACGAATGGAAAGCTTTTTCAAGGACCCGCTTGTCTTTGATCCTGACAGATTTAGGAAAGACCAACCAAGGTAATAAAAACTATTAAAATGTCTTTTGTTTTCACAATATGCATATTTCATAAGAAATGTCCACAATTTAATATCTGTACTTGTAAATCAGGGGTCTCAAACTCGTGGCCCGCGGGCCAATTGCCGGGACGGGCNAAAAAGTTTTAGTATGTAAGATCAATTAGACCAGGGGTCTCAAACTCGTGGCCCGCGGGCCAATTGCCGGGACGGGCGGGGCACGGGGGAGGGGCCCTGTGGCCTTCAAAGCACCGGTGGCGCCTGGGCCGGCCGTGGGATGAGCGGCCCACCACCACCGCGGTGGTGGAATACTTGATGCGGCCCAGCCTCACCCAGACTCTACTTCCAGCGGCCCCCAGGTAAGTTGAGTTTGAGACCCCTGGTGTAAATGATAGAAATAGAGGCAGCACTGGAAAATTTCCTGAAAGGTGGCTTTCACATTTACTTTTAAATGTCTGGCTTTTCTGACAATTGCTCCTTGGAATTCATACTATCTTAAGATGATATACTAGTACATATCAACATTTACTTAATGAATTTTTAAAGTGACAAAAAAAAACCCCCTGTTCTAGCCATTTCTTCTGCTCTTGCTCTGGAGAAATCAGTATGTGGAGCTCTTTGCAGCATGGAAATAAGCATTGTAACCTGCTAATCCCTGCAGAGCAAGCTATTCATAGAGACAAAAGAACTGGTAGTCATGGAATGTATTGGTGATGCTTATACTGCCAGAAAACGTAGATGATACTCAGTTTTCAGGGTCGATGAATCTCATCTTGACAATCCTATCTCAATAAATGCTGCCTGCCTTGTTGCTTGTTTGTTTTTAAGGCCCTACTTCACATATTTCCCATTTTCCCTGGGACCTCGCTCCTGTATCGGACAGAAATTTGCACAGGTAAGCCAGGCAGGGATGCACAGAGGCAAGGAACACTTCTACACCCTGGAGAATGTGCGTGCATCTTTAAGAGCCCGTGATACAGATGGATAGGAGACAGCAGAGCTGTTGCACTGCCAGCTGGCTACTTCTCTGGTTCTTTTGCTTGAATGGCACATCTTGTCTTCTGTTTGCTGTGGTGCCAAGCTCAACTCCTGCTATGGCAAGAAGGGACAGGAATGAAGGAACATAGGTGAGCAAAGGGACTGCTAAAGCAGCAAAGGGGGAGGACCTGTGCCTTCCCAGAAGGTCTCTCCGTGTTTGGGAAGTGCATCATCTTCCAACGGTGTCACATAGACAATCAAAGACATGATACTGGGTCATTGTAACTTGCCTAAGAAGCTGGAGCTGTTCTGGGTAATGAAGATGGCAACTGACTGGATGCCAGCACTTCACTCTGAATCACTCCCGGTCACTTGAAAAATGTTAAATTTGAATGTTAAACTAAATGTTAGGAATCAAAGCACCAGCAGTGTCCACTGCTGAAAATGTAAAGAAAACATGAAAGGATGCATTTACTGAAAGAAGGAAGCAAAACCTATTTTGGAAATAGGTAATTTGAAATTCTGTTTCACCAGAACCTGTTTTGCAGGCAATGTGGAAAATTCCATTGCAGTTTTCTGCTGACATTTCTCCAATAATATTATAAAAATGTCCTATATTCAGCCCAAATTATGCAGTAAAATAAAGAAAAATAGCAAATTATAGAGAATGTAATTAAATGATAATGTAGTGGAGTCGCAGGCATAAGCAAAATTGCACACATTCTAGATGAAAGGTGCTCAGTAATTAAACATTGTGAAGCTACATTTCAGAAAACAGTGTGTAAAGGCCACAGTCCTATGCATATGATAACAGGAGAGCATCCTTCAACTCTCAGGCATTCCCAGACAGACATACTGTCTGCAGAACTCCAATACTTTAGGACACTTCTCCCTCTAAACAAATTGTACCCTAAATCTACAATCTTATACCTCCTTACCTGGGGTAAGCCTCACTGAACTTGTTAGAATTAATTCTGAGTATAGATATATGCTGTGTAAGTGAGCAATCCTATGAATGTCTTCTCAGAAGTTCTACTGAGTTCAGTGAGATTTTGTCTGGAATTACAGGGCTGCAGCTTAAAGCACCAGAGATAGTTAATGACT